ACATATTTTGGCTGTCTAGTGTGGATGCAGATGGGCTTTGAAACCCAAGAGGAATCACTTTTAATTTTAAAATGGTGACAGCAGTCTGTGAGTTGAAAGCACATCCTTCAGAGGGATGGTAGGTTTGTGCTTAAGGCACCAAAATGAGATCAGAGTTCAGTTTATGGCGTTGCAACATATTTCATGTAATAGCTTGGGGAAGTCATTTAATCTTTCTGTGCCTCCTTTCGTAAAACAGGGATGACACTTCTCTCCCACCCTTTTGTCACTTGTCTGTGTATCCTTGAGGCAGGTATTATCTTTTATTGTGTGTGTCTCCAATGCCTGTTTCCAGAGTGATTTATCTCTGTTGGGTCCTCTAGGAATTACTGTGACTTTAATTGGCCAAGCTCGTCTAGCCTTACACTCAACTCAGTTGGCATCTCCATGTTTGGCTATAATGCAATAACCTTTGACTGCTTAATTCAGTCAGTTCGATAATTTCAGAAAATGTTCTTATCTGAAAACTGTAAGGAGAAAGAGGGACAAATTGGACCTTTGGCATTTGGTTAGTACAGTTAGCAGCTTCAACCAGACTTGGTTGCTTCTCTAGCATATTATCTGCTCCAGGGGCTGCTTGCATCGCTCTCTTTTCCTTCAGCAGCTCCCTGTGTGCCACCCTCTCACCCCCACCCACTTTATTTCAGGCCTTTGCTGCAGACTGCTCAACCCCACACATTTAGTAAGAGCACTGTCCCCCATTCTCTGTCCCCTAGAGCAGCATGCCTGTTTTTTCCTATACCTTGGCATGCCACAGACCACACCAGGTTCTCTATCTTCCCCCTTATTCTATCCTATATTCATTGACTGGATGTGGTGTTCAGAGGTTATTACAGTGCATCCAAAGAGAGAAATGCCATTAAGCTGAACTTATGTAGCCAGCCAGGAACTCTCTTTAGTTCCCCAAGTCCCTGTTTGCAGCACTGCTCTGTCCCAGGTCCTTGTGTACCTCCTTTCTGCTAGGAGCCTACTTTTCCCTTGCAGCTCTTTTTATATCGGTCTGCTGGACCCTAATAGGCTGCTCCTCTAGGTCCTTCTCTGATTGGCTGCTTCCTGTGCAGCCTTCTTTAGAGCTCTGTTAACTCCTTAGAGCCCAGTATGGAGCTGGAATCCCATTACATCCAAGAATATTGAAGGAACGGGGATATAAATTACAAGTTCAATAGGAAGAATTTATAATGACTTCATAAATACTGTGTCTGTGCTCTGGAGAATTGCAAATGTCGTATTTATATATTTAACGAACATGGGGGGGGGGGGGAAGTGATCTGGGAAACTAGGTACCCCTTAGTTTGACCTCAGTTATGTGCAAGTTCTTAGAACAAATTTTGAAAGAGAGAGTTGTTAAAAGCATAGCAGTAAATAGTAATTGGGGTGAAGTAAACATGGTTTTGAAAAAATTACATTGTGCCAGAGCAACTTGGTCTCTTTGAGAAGATAACTAATTTTGTAGACAAAGGAAGTGCAATAGATCTTATCTGCCTGGATTTTAGTAAAGTATTAGCTACAATTTCACATGAGGAAATTATTAGTTAAATTGGAGAACACCAGAATTAATACGAGATTTAAGAGATACATAAGGAACTGGTTTAAGGGGAGGCTACAAAAGTTCATGCTGAAGGATGAACTTAGGCTTGGAGGGTGGTCACTGGTGGACTGCTGAAAAAATCAATTGTGGAGCAATTTTATTTAACATTTTCATTAATTACCTCGTTACACAAGGTGGGAGTAAGCTAATAATATTTGTGGAGGACACAAAATTGGGAGGTATTGCTAAAACTGGGAAAACCTAAGTATTGTACAGGAAGATATAGAAAAATAGAAACAAGATGAAATGTAATAGTATAAAGTCATTTATCTTAGGGGCTAACAAGAATTTTTGCTACATGCTGGGAAAGTGGCTTCAGTTGGAAGTGACAGAGGAGAAAGACACAGGTGTTTTGAGTGATCACAGGATCAGTTGCCAGTGTGATATGGCCAATGAAAAAGGCTAATGCAATCACAGGATGCATCAGGTGAGGTATTTCCAGGAGCGATGCAGGAGTATTATTACCATTATACAAGGCATTGGTGAGACCACGTGGAATAGTAAGTGCAATTCTGGTCTCCCGTGTATTAAGAAACATAATTTCAGACCAGGACAGCTACAGTGAGGGGCTCCTGAGATGATCAGAGTAATGGAGAACCTGCCTTACAAATGGAGACTCAAAGAGCTTGGCTTTTTTTAGCCTAACCAAGCAAAGATTGGGGGAGGGGGGGAGAGATGATTTTTCTCTATAAATACATTCGAGGGATAAATACCAGTGAGGGAGAGAAGTTAAGGGACAACATTGATTCAAAAAACAAATGGATATAAACTGGCCATCAATAAGTTTAAACATGAAATTAGAGGTTTCTAGACATCAGAGGAATGAAGCTCTAGACCTGCCTTCCAAGGGGAGCAACCTGGTCAAAAAATCTAATTGGCTTCAAGACTGAGCTTGATAAGTTTATGGAGGGGACAGTATTACATGATTGCTTACAATGGCATGTGGTTCATCTGCAACTGCTCTTAGCAACATCTTCAGCAGCTAGAAATGGGACACTGGATGGTGAGGGCTGTGAGTTACTGCAGAGAATTCTTTCCCAGGTGTGTATCTGGTGGCTCTTGCTCACATGCTCAGGATCTGATTGATCACCATATCTGAGGTTAAGAATCCCCTAACCCCCGGTCAGATTGGCAGAGATCCTGATAATTTTCATCTTTGGCAGCATGAGATCACTTGCTGGTTTGAACTAAAGTAAATAATGGATTTTCTCCAACTTTAAGTTTTGAAATGAAGGTTCAGCCATAGGTTATAGGCCTATTATAGGATTGGATAGGTGAGCTTCTGTTGCCTATGATGTGCAGGAGATCATGATGGACCTTCCTTAAAGTCAGAGTCATGAAAAAATGGACACAAGTCCCTTATTTACCCTTTACAGTTGACTTTTATTAAGTAGATGAAAACATACATATCACACTCACCAAAGTGGAGACATGTTCTGCTGTTAAGGGTGACCAAGCTGGTGAATCTGTTTCCCCCCTCATAATCTTCAATAAAAAGTTAAGAAATAATGCTACTAGAACTGCACTTGGTTTACACACCAATACTTAGGGCTACAGTTGTTCTTGAATGTCATGGAAATTAGTTTTCTAGAGATAGCCATGACATTTTCTCTTTCCCAATTGCTGTGCACCAGGGTGACATCAGAGCTCCCACCTGCTGCAGTGGGTGGGAGGTCCATGGAGTACCCTGCAGCTTCCTAGCCTTTGTGGGTGGTGGGACAGGAACACCCTAAGCAGCTGCAAAGCCCCCATGAGGCTCAGGTTTGACCCTCAAACCCTATTTTGTCAAGGATACTTTTAGTGAAAGACCTGAACTAGTTAGGGTCTTCTGTGATTTTTTTTGTTTATTACCCAGGACCTGTCAATTTCTTTTTTACTAAAAATACTTGTGGCAAAATTTTAGTCTTTCTAATAGTTAAATACAAAGTGGGTAACTGCACCAAGCATTTTCATACATAGGGACTCCGCGTGGTAATTATTTAGCCACTGCTCTGCCACCAGTATATGATGATGATGATAAATTTGAAATTTATGTTCCTAATAGATGACTTGTACTGTGTCCACATAGTGAATGAACAAGGCATGAGGCTCAAGAAAATGTGTATTGAACACAATCCAAATCAAAGAATAGATTACAAGATTGTTAGAGCACTACACTTGAATAGGAAGATCTAGAATGATACTGAGGTGCTTTTTTGGAGGGCTGTGTGTGGCTGCTACAAATTACCATTTAAAGAAGATCTGCTTAGCCTTTCCTTTGTTACATTGCTTCTACAGGTACTAGGAATCAAACCCAAAAAATTAAATTACAATACTGAAAAACATGAAAGAAATTACCATATTTCCTTGAACGATTCTATGGAGATGAAATTAAGTCCCTTCATCAGCAAGTGTATACACTGAATTTTGAGTTAGTAGTTAATAGATTTAAAGACTTTTTTTAAATTGGGGGGAAAAAAGTCAAGTCTGTTTACTGTATGCCAGACAACAGAAGGCCACCTCGAAATTCCATGAATAAATCAAAAGAGAATACAGTCATGTAATTTTTAAAGTGGTGCTCAAAACACAAATTACAGAGTAGTTACACTGAAATAGTGATTTTACTGAATGATGCACATGAGTTAACAATGTTCTATTGTTTTGCCAATGCAGACTCCTCAGTGTTACAGCAGTGATTTTTTTCTAATTTTTGTATTACAATCTGTATAGAACAAAGCTGTAAGCAGAATTTGCAACCAGGGTTTACTCAACAGAGGAGTTGCAGGGAAGAAAAAACCTCCCATAAAACAAATTTCATTAGTTGTTAAAAATGGTTTCCAAGGATATGGAGCAAGGAGCTTAACTGTTAATGGAGAGGTAATTTTGGGAAGTGAGAGAAGTGTACTTAATAAGGTAGGGTAATAAGGTAAGCAATATGAAATAAGTGGAAAGAGTAACAGTGTGAGATGGTAGGAAAGATGAGGAAAAAAACCAAGTTACTCGGCTGCATACTGTGTCACAGCTGGAAATCTTTACATTGGTTTAACTAAGATATTCTAGCCTAATAAATTAATATTTTTCCTCCCAGCTCTTGAGTAATATGAAATATTTTCTTTTTTTCTAGCTGCCCTCACAAGACTAATTTGTGAGTAGCAAATCTAAAACCATACAACACTGGCAAAATGAGCCCATTAGGCTGCTCTGAATGGAGTACTGAACTAGCTTATAATAATGGGGTGGCTCTTTTCTTGAAACTGGATAAATAAGTTCTTAGACAAAAACCTTATTAGAATTGTTAACCTTTTTTGGTTAGACATGTGATGTAATAATGTCCAATTAATTAAATGTGAGCATTTTTCTTTTCTGTTTTAAAACACTTTTCTTTTCCTTTCAGTGTTTTGTATCCTACTTGCGTTCAGTCTACCTAATGAAGAATAAAGAAGTGTTTGATGTCTTTAAGTTACCTTTAGCAGAATATGCACAGTAAGTACTGTCTATAGTAATAATAATAAATGCTTATATATAGCAAACTTATTTTTCTGGTAACTTCAACTGCATGTTAAATGGCATGTTAAAGTATGTAAAACATACTTACAATTAGAATTTTAATGTGTCTGGTAACATTTTCCTACTAATGTAGTTTATCAAAATTTTTGTAGGCACACCTTTTAGAGAAAAAGTTATGAAAATTTTACATTGTTCCACAAAGAGTAGTGACTCATTGCAGTGAACACAAACATTGTAATGCCCAATACAAAAGCTCAAAGTAATGCGATAAAAATGGTTTTACATCATGATGTTCCTATTTGTGATTTTTTTTCCCTTCTATAAATGACATCCTTGAGCCTAGAATATCTCAACAGAGCCTCTTAATAACAGAGGCTATTAATGTTAGACATTTTCAGATCATCAGGGTGTACAGATAATTTCCATATAAGAGTTTTAAAAGAATTTTTCAGTAAGTCTTGAGACTGAGAAGTTCCACAAGACTAGAAGAAAGTTAATGTTGTGTCAATATTTAAAAATGAGAAACTGGATGACCTGGGTAATTGTAGGCCAGTTTGACATCAGTCCTGGAGAAGGTAATGAATTACTGGAACAGCACTCAATTCTTGAGAATTAAAACGGTAATATTTAATTTCGTATCAATCAACATGGGTTTATGGGAAATAAATCCTGTAAAAGTAACCGGATAGCTTTATTTAAGTGTTATGTTTGGTTGATAAAGGAAATAGTGTTGATGTAATCTACTTATGATCACTTTGACCCAATCTGCCTTCCACTTCTAATACTCAATCAGTTCCTTCCTCTTTTTTAAAAAATTAAATCTAGAACAGCTTCACCCCAGTAGCTTTCTCCAACTTCTGAAATAAAAATCTCAAGTTGTAACAAATGGATGCTCTGGGGTAGGGTTACATTTTTTTTCACAACGTTAACAGTGTAACTACTAAAAATCCTACCAGTTAAACAGTTACATGTAGTGCAGGCTTATATATAAGCTTTATATTGCTGAGCCTATAGTGAAGCTCCCCTGGAGGGCTGTCCTCAGTTATTGGGGAAGTTCTATGTCCTTGTTATACAGGTGGCTAGATAATCTCAGTGGTTCCTTCTGGCCCTGGAATCTGAGCTCCTTTTGTGACTGTCTTTTTTATAAGCTTATTGCTTGAAAGAGGGTGTAATGCATAAAGTGTGGAAAATTATATTTTGTAGCTTATTTTTTTTTAGTATAATGGAAGCATTGTTCCTTGAATAAAAATGTCTTTTAAATGAGGTGCACTATAGTTGGTGAGCCATAGTGCCCATGTGTGTGATAAACAGGACTATGACACTCTAAAATAGGTTTTTTGAAATATCATTCATTTTAGCATGTAGTTATTGGTGTCATTACTATCAGTTTAAAACAGGTCAAGACCTCATTGTATTTACATGAAAACTAAGGCCCTCATTGGGCCATGTTCAGCCATGTCTCTGAGTTGCAGTACTTCCTTGGGATGTTGCCCTTTGGTTCTCCAGAATCGTTTCTGATTTAAAAGGGAGAGTATTTCTTTAGCCATAATGGTTGTGAAGATGTGCTTGTCTCATACATTCAAAGTTAACTGTTTCATGCTTGTGTTTGCAGATATGCTGAAACAGATTTAGGGAGGGTCAGCTCTCCTGTTTTGTTTCATGGGTAGTTATCTGCCCAATGATCTTAGAAAAGCAGTGCTAGAAGGGATCCTGAGAAGCTATCCAGTCTAGTCACATGCACAGAAATAGGACACAATACACTTTGACCATTTCTGACAGGTGCTTGTCCAGCCTGTTCTTAAAAACTTCCAGTGATGGGGATTCCACAGTGTCTCTTGGAAGCCTATTCTAGTGCTTAATTACCCTTATAGTTAGATTTTTTTTTTTTTATAATATCTAACCTAAATCTCTCTAACTGCACATTGAGCCAATTGCTTCTTATCCTACCTCTAGTAGACATGCAGCATGGGTGACCATTGTACTCTTTATAAGGGTTAATCATTCTTACCATCTTTGAAGGCTGTTACCAGTCATCTTTTCTCAAAAATAAATATGCTCTATTTTTAATCTTTCCTCATGGGTCACATTTTCTAAATGTTAATAAATAAACTTGGAGGCTTTATAATGGCAGTCGGGAGTACAGGCTACTGTAGGAGATAACCTTGCACTTCTCCCCCTCTCCTCCCCAAGGTATGGACTTGGTAAAATGGCACCCAACCCTGGCACAGTGCCAGGACCAGGACTGTTCTAGAAACACCTTGGGGGCCTGTCCCTCCATTCCAATCACATTAGATGTAGGCAGATAAGCTCAGCCCAGCAGGATCCAAATGTGGAGGGACTTAGTTTAGGGATATCCGGGTGTGGGATGATAGGATTTTGTGTGGGGTAATCTGAGAGTGGGAGGCTTGGTGAGGGATCTGGATGAACCATGGGTGGATGGGGGTCCAGGTGTTGATGGTTAGAGCTCTGCAGGGGAGAATCTGGATGTGGAGGCTTCAGCAGGGAGGGTACCCGGATTGGCTGGAGGAGTGCAGATATGGGTGCTGGCTTGGTAAGGTTAAATGAGGTAGGAGTCAGGGGGAGGGAGGGAGGGTGGTAAGGGTGGTCCAGGTGAAAGTTGGATGGGCTCAATGGGTTTGAGTGCAGAGGGTGGTCTGAGTGCAGAGGTAGGGTCCAGACATAAGATAATGGGGCTCAGTGGTGCATAATCTGTCTTATGGCATGAAGCTCAGAACTGGATGATTTAAATGTCAGCATAGTAGTTTACTGCTGATCAAAGCATGCAAGAAGGGTAAGGAACTATAAAAAGATTTATGTAATCTGCTATGAATGTTGAGCCCCCCCCCTTTTTACCATGAGTGGCTGACTTTTGGGAGCATTTACCACCACTTTATTTTCCCATCTGATCACTGGATCCCCTGTCTTAAATTGTAGTTTCCTTTCTTTAGGACCTAGATTGTCTCTCTCAAGTGTTTGTCCAACCAGTTTTTAGTAACCTCCAACATGGGGATTCTGTCTGGAAGAGAGAAGCTGGTTTAAGATGAGTGCATATGAAAATGTTAGCATGTTACAAAAGTAGTATAATTTATTTCCTGCTCTTTACTTTCACTGGGGCACGTGATGGGCTTCTGTTTAGCAAAAGGAAACATAACCCAGTTTCTCACCTGAAGTAAGAACTTTTCTCTTTCTCCCTCATCATCCTCAAATCATCTTCTGGATGATGTAAATACTTGCTCCTCTCTTGGACTATGACTGCCCTTGTAGGCTTAAGAAATAACAAGAGAACTGCCTTCAGTGTGTGCTGCTTTCTCTTGAAATACACCTGGTATCGAGTGGTGGAATAAGTATATTCATGTAAATCTTCGTCAGCCAGAAACAAATTACATTTGCTTCTTTCACAACTACTTTTTATATTAGAAGCAAATCTGCTTTTTCACTCTTGTGAAGTGATATAAATTGTGCCTTTGGCAGATAGTAAAATGACAAGATCATTGTTAGTTGTATACAGTATTAGAATTAGTACATATTAAATTAACATGGCTTTTAAACTGATTAACTCATTAATATTTATTGGTCAGTTTGTAACATTTCATTCTAATTTATACTGTTGTGTTTGCATAGAATATAAATACTTGAAATGCAAAGTTGTGTGATATATAAAGGTTTTAGCCATAATTGAGTTATGTAGAACGTCCCCAATGAACACTAAATATTTTTAGAATGTCATGTGTTCTACATATCTCATACATTACAAAAAAAAGTAACCTAAAAATTGTAAGTGTTTTGGAAATTATTAGTAATTTTTTATTCTTCTGCCTGTAAAATCATGTCAGGTGCCCTGCTTATCATGGTTTCATCTGCGAAGGATTCAATCATAAAATCTTCTAAAAATGACCTGTAGCGCTTTTCCTGTTACAGAAATGTTACAACTTTGAAGTTTGTTACCTTTGGCTTTTCTAGGGCAAGAAGTGTAGGCTTCATTGAGTAACTGGAGTCTACCCTTTTTTTAATAATATAAGGCCCCTATTTCTAGTCTGACAATCATGAGAAACTGCATTTACAGTGGTCACCTTTTCTATATATAACAATCCCTTACTGCCATAGGACTGAATTTTGCCTGTTTTGGCCATTCGTAATTGTGTGTATAGAAGGTGTTCGATATTTTGTGGGGGAAGAGGAAAACCATATTCTGACAGCCTGACTTTGAAAAACAAGGCCACCGTTTCAATTTATTCTGAGTTTTGCAATGTTAAACAATCTTATGAGAGATGGATTCTGCAGCGTGGGGCTGGAGGTGGTAGTCAAAGATGCATGGTAAACTTAACTTCTCAAGGTTCTGTGGTTTCTCACAAATATACCTCTGAACTGACAAACCTGTGAATGTGTGGTATGATGAACTGAAAAGGGAAACAAGTCACCAAAATGTAGAGCACTTGTATCTGTTTGTGGTATAATTGACAGATTATGGGCTTTAAAGGATGAGACCTGTTTCTAAGAGTTTTCTCATGGTGTGAATTGAAACTTTTGTTTAAAAAAGAAAAATGGAAAAAAATGGATCATGTCTTCCTTTTTGGGTTTGTCTGCAGGGTTTGAAGCTTAGATCTTCACATCCACAGCAGGAAATTCAAAACTGTAGCTCAAGGAGTATCAGTTACCTGCTGGGTAGATCAGCCATTAGAAAGGGACTTGACAAACTCTTCCTAAGGATCATGCAACTGATTACTGGACAGAAGTATAAAGCTAGAATTCAGGAATACTGGAGTGTTGGTGTGTGTGTGTTGTGAATCTTAAGAGAGGAGTGCAGTCTTGGGGATTAGAGTATCTTCAGATCAGGATAACCAAATTCATAGGTTTGGCATTATAAAAGGCAGTGTGGCTGTGTAGATAGGACTTGGATCTGCTGTACTGGAATATAAATTTCGGTTCCTAATGCTGCTGGTTTTGACCTTGTGCAATCTCTTTAATTTCTTTGTGAA